CTCTAAGAAAAGGATACAGTTGAGTTCCGCTTGAAGTTTTGAAAGAACCTGATTATAGTACTGTTCTAATTGAGTCGTCTTCTCTTTTGCCTTGCTAGCTACATAGTCCTGATACATTTTCTCCTGGTGGGTCTACAAAAACCAGAAAACATACGTGAAAACACTCATCACAGCTGGCTTTGGGTTAGGGTCAGGTCAGTAGAGAAGCACAATGCAGTTTGAGCCCTGCGCTTTAAAATTCATCAGGATCAGTCGGTATTGACATCAATAATCATATAGCTGCATCAACATCCAATATTGCCGACAGATCTATTTTTTAATTAATTCTTGCCAACTGTCCAATTTAAAATAAACTGGATAGTTTTTGCTCGAACGTTTAATTTAGCTTTGAACAAACTGTCCAGTATGAGGAAAATCTAGATACTTTCCAGCAACCAATCAAATGTCAAGATAAATAAAAGAACCGAGTATTGGCCAATCAGGTTGCAGCTATTATCACTGCCATCAAACGTCAGCGAGCGATTGTAGCTCGCTAAGTTTTATTAGGTTTTGATAATGGCGGAATTTCCCGACTTTTGTCTCCACCCTTTTGACGTCTGAAACTTTGAAATGGAGTCTTCAGCTAGGTTTTCAGAGATAGATCCTACTGATTTACTCGAGATGAGGTAGAATAATCACGACGAGAACTCTCAAAGAAGCACAAAAACCTGGGTTAACGTGCTTGACCTGTAGCGTGCTGAGCGAAGCGAAGTGAGAAAGCTTGAGGAGATTCCCGAAGAAGAGCTTGACGACGTTCTTTGCCGATTTTATGCAGAGATAAGACAGCAAAACGGAGATAAATACGAGCCAGATAGCCTTGCTGTTATGCAAGGCTCCTTAGACCGCCACCTAAAGAACAACGGCAAACTAGATACAGCATACTACGAGACCGTTAGTTCGCCATGAATGTTCATCTGTTTTTGGATGCTTTATAATTAATAGGTAATAGGACTACATGCTTGCCCAATTTGGAAATAACTGGATTCAAAAAATTCCTCGGACTGCCAAATTGGACTCGGCCTACGCCCTCGTCCACTTTGGCAGTCCTCGGAATTTTTCTCATCCAATTATTTTCAAATTGGACAGCACGTAGTACTATTACATATACAAATTTATCACTTCATTCCTTTAGAACCAAATGGGACATCTTTTAACTCTCTTAAAGATATAGAAAATCTTTTCCACGGAAACAAAAAGCACAACAGTTACTAACAATGAATCACAACCTCACGTTTTACATCGAACTGATTCAGTGCAAGCACGGAGAAATTAGTAAGTGTAAAAATACAATGTAATACGTAATGTAAATTTTCTGATTGATTGCACGAGTTTCTGGTGAAAAATTTGAACCATATCGACCACAAAGACGACTTACATGTAAACGTGATTCTAAAAACACCTCTAAAATTATTAGCCACTAATATTTAATTGTGGAGAACGTTAAAAACACAAGAATACTTGGTATGTCCAAAATGCCAAAGCCCGTGAACAAATCTCCATAATAACTTCAGGTTTCTGGCCAGCCAACACCATCTACAATAACAACATGTAACATACAGGTAGGTGAAGTCTGTAATCAGCTCAAAAAGACAAATGCCGCTGGCACTTATCACAGTTTCTATAACATGAAGTGACTTGAAGGGTTGTTACCCCTTTGGGTGGGGTACTAGTCAATAACAGGGTCCCTCCCTTCCCCCGAAGCATTTTGTCAGATTTCTCCAGCAGTTCAGTGATTTGAAGAATTGCACTGAGACAACTCTAATCGTAACTTTAGACGTAAACTGCCCCAAATTGCGATAACAAACCATGATGTGGTTGCTTGTGCTGGTGCTTCAATGTGAGCCTGCCCAAAGGCTAGCCAGGGGGAGAGGGTATTCCCTTATATGAACTATATAGGTATGTGCGACCCCAAAGGGCATGGCACTTTAGCCGTTTTGGTCAGAAATAGGGTATCGATCTTGACCATTTTAGTCTCAATTGGGGTATAGTTTCTGCACTGACTGTAGTCTTGAATTGGGTATGGCTTTTAAGAAGAAGCAACTTTTTATAAGACCATCAACAAGAGCCTTTAACATTCATCTGAACTAGGGAACTAATTATAAGGCAAGTCTTAAATAGGGTTGTGAATTTCTGGTCAGGTCATAAACAGGGCAGGGAAAATTGCAGATTTTGGTCATAAAGACGGTAAGGGTTCTGGAAAGTGGGCCCCACACCCCCCCATTTTTTTCTGGCAGTACCACCTCCCCCCCCCCCCCCCCCCTGGTGTGGTTGGTAGTGTAGGCAGTTTAGATCTCAATGGAAATGAACTTACTGATTTGAATTGTTCAGAGGCCTGCAGATCAACACGAATGACATCAAATTTGGCAGACAGATTAGTTTCACCTAGTGAAGAGAAAAAACATATTACATTCAAATGCCAATTTAGAAAGGTTATGACCAATCTGTGTACTGGTACTTACATGCAGGGCACACAAGGCTCTTGTTAAATTCTCTTGTTCCATCTTCGTCACAAAATATATCTTTCTCAACATCAAGGGCATGAACAAGAAAACAGCATTTGGGATTTTATTTTTATTGGGATAAAGGCAAAGTAATTGTATGGCTTGCTCTGCCAGTGAACAGGATGAACTAAATCTTGACTTCCACTGTAATTGGCCAACTAAATGAGCAAGAGCAGGCCACCTGGCCATCTGGGGATGACTTACTGTGCCCTGCAATGAAATGGCAGTCTAATAGTAGTAACAGCAATAACGGTTTTCTCTCCACTCCTGGAACATTTTTGGGAAAGGCAGGAGGGACATAACTTGCAGTCTGGATAAGCAATCACTTCAAAACCTTATTTTCTCAAATAGATGGCCAGACTGTACTGCAGGATGGGGCACTGGATAGAAAGAAGAGCACACTGGGTACCCTTACCAGTCCCCACCCATTGCCGGGCCTTGTTTCACNGGGGGGGGGGGGGGGTGACTTCACTATCAAAATGAGGATGCTTGTAAGAAATTTTGAAAAGAACTCCTAAAAAATACAGAATCTTATTTCACCCTTAGCATCTAGCGAATGTAAAAAAGACATAAACTGCCACTAGCATATCTTAACAGCAACAAAGACAACTCTTTCAAACACATACAGCTACCCGAAAAGATTTGTCAAGGCATTGTTAATTTGTTAAAGCATAAATGAAACTTAATATAAGAATTCATGAAGCTCTGTATGTTTACAGTAATGCAAATGAGACAAAATATGGAAAGTTGCATAATTAACCAAAAATATCATGAACAAGTATTGACCAAGCATCTCTAATGTATTGGCCAAGTGTTGGTTATTGGTGTTTTTGCCAACTATGGTTGTACTTCACAGAAGACGAAATGCATCATGTTTAGTGTAGGTACTGTCGGCTGACAAAATGGACCAATAATCTTTATATCAACCAACACTCCGTCGATACATCACCAAGTAGCGGTCGACACTCAGCCAATACACAGCTGATATATTGGCTGACAGTCAGTCAAGTGTAGGTTGAGTATAGATCAAGTATCGGTGAAATGTCAATCGAGTATCAGTAGATATATTGACCATTACTCAACCGACACTCGACTGACACACATATCGGCCGGCCCACTGTTTTGACCGGCACATGACCTTTACCCAACTGACACTCGACCAATACTCAATTGACACTCAGCTGACTGTCAGCCAAAATATTGGCCATGTATCGGTTGACACTTGGCCTATACAAGGCCAATACTTGGCCAACATATCGACCGAGTATCAGTCGATAGAGTCGACTAACACTACCTGTAGTAAACATGATCTGATCGAACAACAAAGTGAGTCAGTCAATAATTTACCGGCTGTAGACCATGTCTCTACCAGCATGTCAACCAAGAGACAACTGATTCTCAATCACATCTCAGCGGGTTGGTCATTTGCTATCTGTGAGATGGGCTAGCAGTTTTAGTAGGGAGCCTTCTTTTCCAATGGGTGGGCCTGGGGGGTTCATTTTAAAAATAATCTGCTCAATGATTCATGTTACTGGAAGTTTAACCAAAAGCTTTCTTTAGCACAATGTTCTGAACAAGCAATTCACTGAAACCAGTTCTACGTGGTCCACCTTATACTCCATTAATTGCACAATAGGGACTACTTGGACAACTCATCAGAAATAGACAATTTTGCTATTATGATAAATAAAATACAAATACTTGTAGTGTTAAGAGTAACAAGAAGTTAAATAGACAAAGTGGACATAATTCAAGAAAATATACATCGGAATGGGCTAGAAAATGAGACAAACGTTTTGCTCTTTTCAAGCTAAAGAGCAGTTCACAATAAAATTGACATAATAAAATTCATACATGGACAAAAATAATCACTGGAGATTTAGCAGATTTATATGATTGGTTTACCTGTGAATTAGTTGAGACCTCTCATTAAGCAATGAAGAATTACAAAGCAATTCTTTTGCCTTACACTGTGGCTGCATTACAACCGAAATGTAAAAAACAAAGTTGTGTTTTGTGTACTATGTGGCCAAAAAGCAAACACTGCTGTTCAATTTTGATGGCCTTATAAATATAGCCTTTGTCCTCTAAAAATTAAACAGTTATGCATCAAATATTTTTCTTAAGGTCAAATGCTACATTAAAAAGGATACGAGAACATGATGTTACCTAAAAATTAAAAATGTAAATTGCTAGAATTACAAACATATTTCAAAGAAAAATTGAGCAACAGTTTTACATAATATAATATTAACTGTTTTAGAATTTCTTACCCAAGCATGTGTATTCAGCCTTGTTCTACATTTTCTAAAGTTGCAAAGAAGATCATTATCCATACTATGCTGTGTGGTGGAATTTGACTTTTCTCAATCTTTCATCAAAACCTACAAAAAGATAAGATAAGATAATAAATTGGTGTCACGAACAAGGAGCCCTTTCTTCCAACTTCATTAAGCGTTCATTAGGTTTTGTAAATTCACAAGGATCCGAGGTATTTTTTTATTGTCTAAACCCTTATCCCACCCCACAAAAGAAACCAATGGTCCATTTTTATACTACATACTGACATGTCTACAGGACAATTTATTTAAGCACAATTATACATACTGCCATATCTAATTGTCATTAAGGATAAATTTCATCGTGGAATTTTAAGCTTATTAGCAATATTTTCGTCAAGACCTGATTCGGCTATCAACTGTATAGTGATATGCTTCTGATAATATACACAACTGTAATCAATTCTCGTGGAATCCTACTGCCCTACGTGAAATTATTGCAACGGATTGAAATATCATCATCGGTTCCAATTAAACTAAAACGTTCTAAGCTAAAATAAGACCTGTAAGCTCTTACATTGAGAAGATATTTGGCCTCGTGATCTCGAAATTGATTGTGAACACGTCACTCTGTGGGCTGGAAGTTTGTCTTGACCTCTACGCTTTTCTCACGGTGCTTTACATCGTTAATAAAAGTTTAAGGCTGGTGTTATATGAACGGGGACACAACCAAGTCCTTAGAGATAATTCTTACCGTAGTTTGGCCCTGAAGAATAAATCTTCGCTCCACAAAATATGTGTAATTGTCGTGGAAATACAATTCAACCAAAGCAAAATTTCGCGGGCTACATGACGCATGCTCAAACACAGGCTCGTCTCATTCTTTCTCGGCCAATATCGTTCCCAGTGCCCAGCGTTTTATTAGGTTCGAACGATGGTGCGAACTACTAAGTTTTAGGAAGTAAAATACTTCGAATCGTCAAACTGTACGAAAACCGTAGAGACTAAAAATGATCCCGCAGGAGAAAGAGTGAGGGCGTGAATCATATTTTCGTTTTTTGTTGTTATTCTTTTACTGGTAAGTATTTAGAATAAATCTTTAGATGAGGTATGCTAACATTTTAGACTACAAACTTTTGTTTGATTTAAATCAAGAGATTATCAAGGTTAAATCAAGAGATTATCAAGAGATTATCTCTTTCTTTAGAGGGATTACCTTGGGTAGAAGACCTATATGGGGGATTCACTCTCTTACCTTGATTCAAAAAGCCCACTAGCAACGGTTACCGCTTGGTCTATTTAAGTAACAGCTGTGGCAACTGTCCGCTACTATTTGTCCAAACTCTGACAACTTTGACAACTGCTTCGCATCCATAATAAACAATTCGGTCCTCGGATAAGCAATGCCAATGCAATGGTTTAACAGATCGACTAGCCGAGGTCCGTTTTCATATCTCGACTTTTCAGCTGACATAATCGAACTCTAAATTTTCTTTAAAAAATTTTTAAAAAAATTTCGTCGTAAGATGCAACATATCAGTATGTAACTTCCAAACCAGGGTTATATAAACTCCAGATAACTGCTATCCCTTTTCCGGGTTATGGCTTGTATTTTGCGCTTGGCGTTCGGCCTCAGATCTGCCTTGTCGCATTTAACCTGAATATAGTTGTTCCCGTCAAAGAATGAACAACGCTACCCAGCAGACTAATCACCAACAAGTGTTAACAAAACCAACTATACTATTCGCTGCGCATTGATTTATCCGGTAGATAGCATTTCTATAAAACCGCGACAGGTTACACCAGCATGACCATGAAAATTCACTCAACTTGTCGAAACTTGAGACATTCTGTCGTAGCTCTAGGTTACCGGAGCTGAACTTCATCCCTAACTCGTCGAATGAGAAACCAAAAACAATCGGGAAAAGAAAATTTCTGCGCAATCACTGAGTCTCGCCCCTAGTGTTTACGTGACGACTTTTTCTCTTGTTGCGCCTACGTAGGCGGACAGCTCACTCTGAGTCGCTTTGCGGTGTACTCCCGACCTTTTATGACTGAAGCTCAAACTAGCTCGACTCGACTTTTAAAACAATTGAACGCTACCAGAATTTGCCTAGGAGAAAATTAATAGTCCTAAGGGACTGTGCAATAATTACCTGGATGGTGGGGGAGGGGGGACTGGGAAATGGGTAAANCCCCCCCCCTCACACAATGATGATATTAAGGCTAACCCCACCTCCCCTGAAAAAGTCTCCTCCCATTGCTTCCCTCATATCTAGTTTACTTGTTGGAGTTCTTCCTCCGTTACAAACATCACTTCAAATGACTCTTCGACGCATGTCGAAGAGTTATTTGAAGAGTCATCAGAATCACTGGACTCTGAGCTTGTCTGTCGTCTTCGCATGAATTGGGAGATTCCTCATCTTCTACAGCATCTCTGGCACTAAGGTTCCCGCGTACGTGGGTGCGAATTCGATCAATCAACTCAGCCTTGCTTCCACTTATCGGAAGATCTTCTTGCTTTAGATACATTTTCAGCTGCTTGTTGGCAAGCGCTTTTACATCTTTTTCAATTGTCTAAGAAATAAGCGGAAAAGTGTTCCTTTCTCTTACTCTTTTTTTGGCTTTTGCATCGAGGAACTCACGGTGCTGTACATAACTTTTACATTCAGTCCCGTCCACGTTGTACTGGGAGCATACCTCTTGCAAAGACCTTCAGAAGAGCTCAATTCACTCATACAGTGTTTTATTTACCATACTTTAAATTTGTATTGCTATTAAAATTTCAGTTGGGTTTTTCATTCTGTTAACTTATGATGCCATGTGTGCTAACATTGGCATCTTTCTTTTTCATCGAATAACATTATAGCGCTACTTTTGCAACTTTTAATTAAAGTTTCCTGTTTTATTAAATCCTACTGCAAATAAAGTAGCACTGTTTTAACATAAAGAACAGAGGCATTCCTTTCCTACTGCATGACAGATAAAAAAAAGCAACAGTACATAGATCAGAACACCTTAGAGTTGATAAATTTGCAAGTTTTATTCCAATGTTAGTATTTATATTTGAACTCTAATAACTCTTCCACTACTTTTCCAGTTTGCAAAAAGGAATGAAAAAGTAATGCTCTTCCCTGTATGCATTAAATTTTACATCCAACCCCCCCTCTCTCTTGCTGTCATTTTCTCCTATGCCCCCCTTCTAATTTTCCAACCCCCCCCCCCTCTTCAGGTAATTATTGCACAGTCCTTAATAAATTAAGTGCAATTATATCCCTTTAAAGATGAGTCATTTCTAAACATTTCACTTTTTGAAAACTTTGCTCTAGTCTCCTATGAAAACGATTGTGACCCGTCTTTTGCTTCAATTATAGCATCCCCTCAGCTGCAGGCAAGTTTTACTAACATAACGGAACTAAAAGCATTTTGCATTGCGCCATGACAGCTAAGTGCGTTTCAAAGTTATTTAGCTAATAGTATCTATAACAAAATTCTCTATCGTGATTGGCTCTCTGCGCGCCTATTAATCACGCAATCATAACAATTACAATTTCCTCAAATGTGATTGGTGCATAAACTGGTGTATTTTACTCTAATTGATCTGCAAAGTTGTAATCGGACAGTTTAATCGGACAGTTGACTGTAATCGGACACCTGTAATCGGACAGTTACATGAGCCAATCATTTTAAGTCCTCTCTACTAAATCCACCAATCACAACATTGATTACAATCACTATAGTAACCAATTCAAGAGACTGACTTTGTAAAATTGTGGAGGTGACTGCTCCGGTGACTGTTTTGAAAGAAACTTAACAGCCATTTTGCAAGCTAGTCTCCATATTTTTAATCATGACATTTAGAAATGACAATTAAAAGCTCTTTTTCAAATGAAACTTTCACTTCTGTTGGAAATTGTAATGGTTATGATTAATTGGTAACAGGACATCGTGTCGTCCAATTCAGTAATCATACTTGTAATTAACAAATCGGACTCCCGCATCGCGGTCGTCCGATTTTGTTATCACTTGTATGATTACAGATCGAATTGGACTCGCAGTCCTATTACCATTACTAATCGGCATGCGATCACGTGAGTGTCCAGGTTACAGGTATCCAATTGAACTTTTCGTAATCGGATACCTGTAATTAGATACCCACGTGATTCGTACGTCAATTACGCGCGCTTTAATGGCTTCTTTCGCGATGTTTCACACAGTTTTCAAAACTCACTGAAAATACGTTTTCAAAAGACATTTTTAATTCCGAAATTTGTTACAGATACGATTAATTAGCAATTGGACTTCGTTTCGAACAATTCAGGGAGTAATCGTGCTCGTAATTTAAAATTGGCCTCGCGCTCGTCCGATTTTGAAATTACTCGCGCGATTACTCCCTAAATTGTACTCCACTAGGTCCAATTACTATTACTAATTACGAAATCATCTTTTAAATGATAGAGTTTTAATTCCTTATGCCAAGCGGTTTGTTCTTTAGATCAAATCTTCACGTCGAGGGTGGGGCGGACTGAAACATGGGTTTCAAGCAAGGAAAAGAACCAACAACAAAATTAGCTAAAGAAATTTGCTTTGATCAGCCATTTCTACACCACCAGAATCATTTTCTAACTTCGTTCCTTAGCCAAAATCGAGAAAACGCACAGGCTTTCTTTACTAAGATGACCACATCTCTATGTCTTTAATACCACTTGATTCCCTTCAATGAATCTCACTACATCGTTCACGCTTCGAATTCAAGTAAATTGACTTGTGGGAGAACACGATACTTGGCTTTTCAAAAGCTTATATCAACACGATGTTGTAAGGGTCTTATAGTGGCCCCGTTAGTTTCTCATTGAAATTCCATGACATAATAAACGTTGTTAATAAGAACAAACGTCTCGATTCTTAGCACTTTCAAACCCTGCACAGTGATGGGAGGAAAAGTTTTAATTTTCATTGTCGCTGCCGTTGTAGTGCCCACAGCTGTATTCTCGAAGGAAACTTGTGGAGAAAGTAAGTTGTAGCTTGTAAACAGAGTTTTTTAAAGACGTTGATAGATAAGAGCGACAGTACAAATATTTACTGCAAACTCTGTGCGCGTTAGCAAGGTTGACCAACTCCTCATTTCTGTGATAAATCCAACTCTGCTATGTTTATTTATTTCCTTGACTATTAATTAAACCCTGTTAATAAACTGCTCGGCCTCAAGATAACAACCGAAAACAGTTGATGAATTAGGTGAGCTATTTTTCACGAGAAATGTTTACCTTGGTTTTGTTTTAACTTTACTGAAGTGAAATTTTTAATCGTGTAAACACAGTAGCAAACCTCGGTAAATGCCGACAAAATCAAAAGTGAGCCAACCTTTGAACGTCTCATCAGGCATGGTTTAGCTCAGTAACCGACGGTAACGCAGGAAAAGCAGACATTGTCGCGATATCTTTGCGGCAATTGCTCCCGTGTTCAGAGCGAAAGAAGAGAAAAATAGACAAAGATTCCTCCTAACAAAGTAGGTTTCAAATCAACGGGCAAAAAAAGCTAAATTAACTCATGTTTAGACAAAGAAATCCCGGACTGCTGTTTCCCGTTCATCGTCAACTGCCGTAAGCGTTTTCTTTCAGTTAGAAGCTCAGTAGCTTAGTAGCAGTGTACATGCAGGCGGAACTGGAAGAAGACCTGCCACAAAGTGACAGAAAAAAAAATCATACTTGAGGTCTATGGAGAAAAAAAGCATATGTTAGAATTTAAAGCGGCCCCGAGGAGAAGAAGTACTAGTAAACATCTACGTAGCCCGGGCTCCGCGGCAGATGCCGGCAGGTTTTTTGCGGAAAGAAGCTCAGCAAGATATCAAAATTTTCTTTCTACTATTCATCTACAAAGCTTTACATTTATGGAGAGTTTGGCTCGACATCACTCAGCTGCCTGCAAATTGACAACGACCTGCGTTCGGCATCGGAGTAAAGTCAGAAATCGTATAATTTTCCAATAGTTTCTGTGCAACATTACAGCACTCGCTTTCCGTGAAAAACATAAAGCCGTCCGTTGTATGCGGCCTACCTAAGTCAATAGAGTGTGTGCATTGTCACGCAATAGAAAATAAAATCAAAAACCATTCAG